AGTTGGGGAGAGCAGGCAGAAAGCGTGTTCGTTTGTCTGCGTGGTGTAATAATACCCTCTTTGGCCTTGCACCCCGTTAACAGCCAGGAGAATGCCAGCCTACTGCAGGCTCTACCTCCCTGACAGCACATGGTCTCTTCCTTTTCGGCTTCAGACTCAGATTTCCAGGGGGAGGGGAGCTTCCTAGGAAGCATCTTGTATTTACAATCTAACGAGGAAAGATCCAGCATGTGTCAGTTATCTTGTGCTGCTTTCCTTTTTTTTCCCTACAAGACCTGAGGGAGCTTTTCGGAGCCAGCCCAACAAAACCCATGCAATTACAGTCTGCCCTTGGATTGCAAGCTTTTGCCAGATGTGCAGGGACAGGCAGATGGACTGTCCACGCGTCTCCTCCGAAGGCTGCATCCTCGGCCTGCTGAAGCAGAGCAGTGCACTGCACTGTTTTATCTGTGGGACCAGGGAAATAATGGTCCATCCCCTAATTCAGCATGAGCCTTCTCTGGCTGTACTCATAGCTGAAACTTTTAATCAATGGCAAGCATTGACTGCTGGCTCTAACTTGGCACCCACAGAGGTCACGGGGTTGAAAGCACAAGGTTTTCTAATACTGAGAGATCTACCAGAGTGAAGCTTTTTGATTTTGAGAAAAGGAGTCAGACGGTTTCTGCAGGTGCCTTTAGCATATGTTTAATCGGCTCTGAACTCACCCAAGTGGATAATCATCCCCATAAAAAGCTCCTCCTTGCTTAGGTGTCTGCAACACTGGTATCTGTCTAAAGTCCAGGTTCAGATAAGAAAACCAGACCCAGTGACACAGTGGGAGTGGTGCTGCCTAACAAACAGGGAACTCCCAGCCAGGATTCAACTGAGAGATAGAGCCTCCAGGCTGCAGGCATCTCTGCAGAGAAAACCAGCCTGAGGGAAGTCATGGTGGACTTCTGCCTAGGATTTATTTTCTTGGGTAGAAAACTGAGAGAGAGATGAGAAAAGAGGAGACCCCACAAAGGGGGAAGAAAGTCGGATCTGGAAAGTAGGATGGCATTCCCACAACTTGAAAGCCCCTAAGATTAGAGACTGAGGTGCAAAGTGCCCTGGTCCTGGTACTTTGAGGAATGTGAGGTCTCAGTGAGAGGCAGATGCAGACCCTTTGGGCCTTGGTTGGGTGTAGTCTCTCCCAGCTACAGCTGATCTAAGTGGCTTTGGCTGCTTTTAGGATCCTCAGAGTCTCTCTGAAAGAGTAGTCCTGGATGCCAGTGCTGGCAGTAGCTGTTAGCCCGCACACGTGAGCCGTGATGCTTCAGATTTGTCCACCTCAGGGTGTCAGCGGGCCAAACTTTACCATCTCCCCCTGTCCTTTGCCTTTCTGAAGTTGGAGGGGATGAAAAGGACAGAAAGGTGTTTTCTCCTGAGACTATTTCAAATCCTCTCAGTTAAAGTTTTTCCCAAATCATCCTGACCTTTTGAAAAGGCAAGACAAGCAATGAGCCGCAGCACAAGGGACGTTTCTTAGGGCAGGGCCACTTGCTGGGGAGACGGCTTACTTTCTAACAGGGCTGCATGAACAAGAAGAAAGTGAAGTGATTCAGGGCTACTTCTTCCAAAGGAGAGGAGTCCCGCCATCAAAAGAAATGACCTGCAACTGAGAAGCGTAGTAAGGCCAGTAGATACGCTGACTGAACGACGCTGCACAGCAATTTATTTGGGTTCCAGCACTGCATCCAAAAAAATGGCCCTTAGGCATCTAATCTTTAGCTAAGCAAAATTTTCAAGATCCTGACCGCCTGCCTTCAGGGAAGCGGAGTGGGGAAGCGAAGGCAGCGGCTCCGTGCAACGTCTGCTGAAGCAGGCTGCCTTTGTTAGGCTGAGATAGCTGCAGTTCCCTGGCACAGACCAAGCCGCACCAGGCAGCGCTGCAGGAGTGAGTCGCCGTGACAGGCACCGGGTGCCAGTGCGACAAAGGAGCCCTCCCTGCACCAAGAGCCTCCTCGCTCCAGCCTAGTGGTGCCGAGCAAATCCAGCTGGCGCGTGACCTGGCCCAGCTGCAAGGTGGAGGAACAAAGAAGGGAGCCTTCCCCGTCCCCAGGTGAGAGGAAGGGGTGCCAGTTTGGGGTGATGGCTGCAGCTTGGACCTGGGCCACAGCCTTGCACGAGTAGCATAAGCTTGGCTGCAGCAGGAGCAAAGCTAGTGGAGACCCCCTTCAAGCAAAAGCCTTTTTTTGTCCATTACTGGGAAACTGGGGGGAGGAAGAGGATGGGGAGATGGAGCCTGCTAATTCAGCCCTGAGTGCAAGCAGCGCATGAGGTAACAGCAATTTTTAGCTGCTCAAAGGTGAGCTTGACTGCCTAAACTGTGACTAATCCCATCTATCCAGGTTGAAAAGGTAGCGCTGGCCATGACTGAAATCAGCAGAAGGATCCAGGGCTCCCGTGTGAAATTACCATAGCTGGGAGGTTGTTGGATCTTTAAAAAGCACCTGGCTGCAAGACCCCTTGGGGTTGTAACATCTTTCTCCAATGAGACTTGTTTTCATCATCATCTTAACAAGAGCAGCCCCCCCTCCCTAAAATAGCCAACTAGGAGATGTCCTGGAAGGGTGTCATGCCCCATATGTTAAGGATGCCAACTGTGCTCTCTCGTGCAGCTTTTGAAGCCCCCATACAAGCTCACCCAGCTGGCCCTGCCACGTACTCCTGATGCTGCCCGCTCCCTTCCTGGTGGCTATGTGTTTTGGGGGGGGCACTTGATTATTTTTGGTCTGTTCTGCAAAAACACTCACAATAAAGGAAATCACTGTTGCAAAAGAACAAAGTGAGAAAAACCAAAGGATTTCATCACTTCTTTGTGCCTGTTACTCTGGGGGATGTCCCATGAACTGCTTCTGGAAAGGGCCGGCCACCCCAACTCTCTCAGCAGCCCAGCACTACACACACTGGGTTTTTTGCGATCCTGGTAAATCCAAGAGTTACTTCCCTCCGGGGGACCGTTAAAAGCCCAAAGTCTACAGCCCAAAAGCCGAGTATCAGCAGAGGCCCAAGCCTACTTAGCATGTCCCGTCACATTATGCACAACCAGCTCGCCGTTGTGCTCATCAGAGGACTCCTAGGACTCAATTTTCCCATGACATGAGCTTGCAGACCCCAATTTTGCCCAGCCACCACCTGATACAAGGAGTGGGAGATGCCCTGATCCCAGGGAGCTGTTGTCTGGCACCACCATCCCTGGGCACAAGGTTTTGGTGAAACACAGCTGTGGGGCTGGGAGCAAGCAGGAGGGTTTTTTTTTTTTGGGGGGGGGGGGGGCAGGGCTTTCTCCAGCCAGCACAGCCACGTGTCCAGACACCCACCGGTCCCGTTCCCAGCCTACAAGGAAACACAGGCTGGACAGACAGTGGCAACTGAGGGGAAGCCCTGCAAGACTAGCCAACCCTCTGTGTTACGCCACCTCTCTGCAGCTCCCCACCGCCCTGCTGAAAGCACAGGAGCCATTTCTGCAATGAGTGTTGATGATGGGCTCAGAGATGTCTCATGCCTGGACTTCAAGCTGGGGGCGAAACAGCCCTTGCCACCCCCTCGAGTCACAAAGAGCTGGTGAACTCCAGCTAAAAGGCTGCCTAAACCCAAGGCATCCAATGTACCTTTGGATGGGGGTGCTCAGCTGTGCACCTTGTCTCTCCTGGTCAAAGATGGGGCACAGCCCCAATACAAGGGGTGTGTGTCCCTGCTAATACCTGCTGTGCCATCTCCATCACAGCCAAAAACAGCTGGAAGAGCTGGC